TCCGTTATATGTCACACAGTGTTGCTGTTGATTTGGGTAAAAAACAACGACGAGAAAAGTTTCCAGAAAAACAAATTCCCGAAAAAATTTTTGTCGTTGTTTTTTAACCACAACCAAAAAAAACAATTTTCCGGGAAACCGCTCCCGTTATTACAACTCTTTATCATCTGTGTTATTTTTTGTTCTTCATTTCATTGTTTAACCCCGAGAAGAAAAAAAAATGATCCTGGGTTAAAACTGGATTTATTTTTTATTTTTTTTTCTGTGATTTTCTTCGGTTCATTGTAATCAACAACAATAACCCAACAGTAACAGCAAGAGTTAATTACAACAACAATTCCCGAATTTTTTACGGGTCGGGATTTCTGTTGCTTTTTTAGGCGTTTTTTCGTCGAAAAATGTCATGTTTTTTAACCAACAAACTGACCAATTGACCATTATGGGTCGCGTGGGTCATATTAATCATCTTTTTTTCACTCTCCTTTCGTTTAACCATGAATGAATCACCCGGGTGTAGGGATCATTAATTTTTTTTACTGCATGAATTCTATGATGATCAAATGAAAATTCTGATATTTTTTATCGCCGAAAGAAAGAAAGAAAGGGAAAAAAAAGTTATCCAACAGATCAACAAAAAAAAAGCAGGAATATGATGGTAATAAATCTTTATTTTTTAGAAAAAAAAACCAGGAGAAAAACAGAAAAATCACACAGACATACATAACATATATGGGGAAATCTGGAAAAAAAATCAATCCAAATGTAGTAATGTGACACTCAGTGGTTTGCAAAAGATTGAATTAAGAAATCGAATATAAATCAAACCAGAAAAATTGGTTCAGTGACCAAATCAAAAAAAGGTGAAAGTGTTAATCATCATATCAAATATAGTAGGGTTTTTTTCGCACGAACACTTCATTTCAAACTTGAAAAAAAAGAAAAAACAATCCTCGTGAAGAAGGAAATGAGTGTTTTTGAATCCAGCAAAAAACACTATGTGTGTTTTTAGAAATGAAAATCCGTTCCCAGATATTGTGAACAACACAATTCACACACTATTGTGGTCAGTTTGCCAAAAAGAAAAAAAGACCCAAAGTGAAAGTTCACTGTACTTGGTTATTGAACGTTGTTGTCGTTTGTTTTGTTTGTTTGACCAAATGACAATTGACAAGTTTTTTTCTTTTTTTTCTGGGTTCCAAGATTAATTAGATGTAATTTATCTTCTTTTTTTTTGGTCCAAAATTTCTCTATCTGGTTGGTTGTTTCATTCAAAATGATCCAAATGGAACAACCAAACAACAATGCAAAGTAGTTTTTCTGCTGCTACTGTTACTGACCACAATGATGTAATATGTCAAACAAGACAAACAAAAACCGGACAATCAATCGGTCAATAGTGTGGCTGTTTGACATTTTTTTCTGGCTTTTCTTTTTGGATCGTCCGTTTGTTATCAATCAGAGTTTATTTTTCAATTGAAGAAAATATTGAAGAAAATCTTTTCAAATAAAGGTAATTTAAAGGTAATTTAAAACCCAAAATGGTCATTTGATGAATGGATCGTGATGATGATGATGATGAGAAACTTTTTGTAAAAAGTCTTTTTTGTAAAGTTTTTTTTTTGTTTTGAACAACAGACCAAAATACCGGATCTTCCATGGATAATCATTTGACTTTTTTCATTGAATAATTTTTGTATCTTGTTCTTGGTTAAAAAGTGACCTTCAATTTTGAAAAAATTTTTACCAAAAAAAAACTGAGATGCTTACCCCAATGAAAAAACTAAAAATCAAACCTAAAAGGTCAAAGTTGAACAACTGAATTTCTTTTTCTTTGGGTTATATAACCTCATCGGTATTCCGAAATAAGCGAAAAATAATAAGCGAAATCAAACAAGCCATATCACACACAAGCATCGATGCGGTGAGACAGGGAGAGAAAGAAATGAAGAAAGTTAGCCAAGTAAAGTAAAGAAAATTGAAAAAAAAACTCTCGCCCGTTCATCGATTCAATGACCTTTATTTCGGCACATCCATTACATTTTTTTCATGGTTACGTTGAAGAAAAAACCAAAAATTGGTGCAGTATTTCTTTACGAATTTTGATCTTATCGACAGAAGAAGAAATCGGGGGGAGGTTTGGCTGGTTCAAGGGGGGAGGTTAACGATTGAAAGATATCATTTCGATGAAAAAAAAGCTGAATAAAAACTGAAATGTGAATAACCATCACCACCACAACCACCGCCACTAGATTGGTTGATTCCAATTTTACGGGAGGAATTTTTGCACCGAATCGCCCACCCAGCCACCCTCCTACCGTTCCAAAAACAACATTCATCCATTCAGATACAAAGTATCATTCGCCCCTTGTTATATTCTTTCTTTTTTTTTGAAAGAATGTTACTGATCCAGAATAATAACGATGGAATTCTGGCAATTCTGATTATATAATGCGTCTTTGTTGTGTGATGTGTGTGCGTGACATTGACCTGAATGGATATTCTGTACTGCTGCTGGTGCTGGTTTTCATTTTCAATGATGATGATGGTGCCTGTTTTTCGTGATGCTGGTGTTCGTGCCCGGATCTGGTTTTTGATTCGTCGCCGTTCGTGTTTATTCTTTTGTTCTTTTTTTAAAAAAAAAGGATTTTTGTTCTGCGCATGTACAAACTGTATAGAGTAACTTCTTTTTTGTTTGTTTGTTTGAAATGGAAACCAAAAAATTCAAGTTTGATGAACTGTATCAATTTTTTGTGTTTAATTTTTTTGTTTTTCAAAAAGAATCCACAAAAAAACAACCGAAACAAAAACAAAAATTTCACGATAAAAACACCTGACTATTAGTGAAACAAAATAACAAGAATCCTGAAAAAGGGGAAAATCAAAAAACTGAAAAACAAATTCTGTTTTGTCATTTTCCCCCTGCTATTTACACCCACACTCATCCCCCTGACGCCCTCTCAAACAATTGCTGTTTCTACCCAAATGTCATTGACTTTGGCTTCGATGATGATGATCATTATTTTTCGTTTTGTTTCGTTAAACGCCTTTTTTTTGTTACTTGAATAATGACTTCGTTTGTTCGCTTGGCTAGTTGGTCGATCGGTCAGTCGATCGGTCAATTGCTTCCAGACTCTCTCTCTCTCTCTCTCTTTGTTTGTGCTAAACAAATCTTGATTACCTTGATTATTTTAGGGTTGGTCGATTATGTAATATCATTTTTTTCAACTATTTCGACATTATCATTACACTTTCAAACGAAAAAAATAGAGGGAAAAATTCCCGAAAAAATTCTTTCCGAAAAAATTCTTTCCGAAAAGTATTCTTCAAAACCAAATATTGAACCCTTTTTGTTTGTTTTGTTTTAGTTTTTCGGAGAAATAAACCTTTTTTGAAATAATTTTGATTGAAATGAAGGGAATATTGACCTTATTATTTTATCAAAAAAAAAAATTTCAAACCAAACGCAACAACAGAGAAAGAAATCCACAAAAAAAAATTGGGAGCCATAGCCCAGGCGCAAGACAAAACGAAAAAATTGAAATTTTTTTTGTTCGGAAAAAAAACTACGCACAACCCTCATTGTATATGATAAGCTCAATGACCTCTTATTTTTGCTATGATTTTTCACCATCATCGTTGTTGTTTTCGTGTTAACTTGATACTTGGATTCTGTTGTTGTTGTTGTTGCTTGGTTGGTTGGTTGGTTAGTTTGATGGATTGAATGCAATGAGGATGCACAAGAAGAAGAGGATACACAAAGATGGATGGATGGATGGATGGCTGCCAAACCAACAAACAAACAAGCAGCCAAAGTAAGGCAATCGACCTCGAACCAATTTTTGTTTTCCTTCCAATGTTTTTTTGAAGAGAAAGTAGAATTTTTTATCTTCTTAATAAGTAAATAGAAAATATTTCAAAAAATACACAAAATCCTCAATCAATCCAAAGAATAAACAAACAAACAAACAAATTAAAAGGGTTCATTGTGTGTGCGATAGGGTTAATGAATTTTTTCATTGTCGTTGCTTTCGATGGTTTGTTTGTTTATTTGATCAATTGATTGATTGATTGATCAAATATCGATTATTTTCAATTATTTTTGGACATTCGATTTTTCGTTTGTTACTACCGAAAATATTTACCTACATAGAGAGAATATTCTTCTTTGAAAGAATTCTTTGCTTGTATACATTCGTACACCTACGCTACGAATTCTTCCATAGCTCCAAAGAGTAATGACTGTATTTTTTTTATTTGGATAAATCAATCAATCGATCGATCGATCGATTGGCCGGCAAAATATAGTATATGTATGGTATAGAAAGAAATGAATGTTAACCTTGAAAAATAACACTGCACTCGTGAACAGAATTTAATAATGGAAAAAAAATAGGCGGAGGATGAGCGAGGGGTAATGGCCTCGTCCATCATTATCAACAACAACAACAACAGTCGAAGAAGGACAGCCACAAGAAAAAAAAAGAGTAAAAGAGGAGGAGGAGTAGGATTGGATGATTAGTGGGATGAAAAAAAAGGAGGGTAGAGTTGAAATAGTCTAAAAAAAGAAGAAGAAGGGTATCCCAGAAAAAAAAATATCCAACATTCAGTAATGCTACTACCACCACTATAAAAAATACAGTACACACAGATAGCCAAATTAAACTAAACCAAAAAACACACAAAACACAGAACATACATTGAGATAATATGGGTCCGACATAGAAACAAAACACATAGTCCGCATTTTTTTTCTGATTTTTCTGATTTTCATCATTTTGATTATAAGAACCAATGTTCGTCTGTTTAGATTCAACACATGCTATTCAGTCAATGATCAGTAATGATCTGTGTTTTTTGTGTTTGTTTTTTCTGTAAAAAAAAGCCGGATTTTCAAGTGAAATTTTCTGAACTATTTTCTTTTTTGGATTCTTTTCGCTCGTGTGTGGTTGTGTCCGTGTTAATTTGAATAATGAACTTCGATTTGATTCTCTGTTGACAAAGTGACTACCGTAGAATAATTATGAATTCTTTGATTTGAGAAAAATTTTCCAGAATTCATTCAAGTCTCAACTTTGATCCAGAATTTTTTTCTTTCTGTAAAGTTTCCTTTTCATAAAATTTCCCAACAAAATGATTCTCAACGATAAAGATTTACATTTATTTAATCATCACCAGCAACAGCAACAGCAAAAAATTGATTCAACACAGCAATCAATGATAAGATCTTCACCACCACCATCATCACCAATTAATACAACAACAACAACAACAATGACATCAACAACAACAACAAATCATAATCATCATAATAATGATTCAAATAGTAGTAATACAAGCAGTAGTAATCATAATAATAATGTTAATGTTACTGGTGGTGATAGATGTAAAGATTTAGATCTTAAAATCGGTATGCCAAACATGAAGAATTTGAAGAATTTTTAACACAGAATTTCCCAACACGGAATTTTTTTTCCAAACACACAGAATTTCCAAACACACAGAATGTTCAATTGATTAGATCAGTAACCGATATTCACTGATCCGCTTTTTATTGATTTTTTTTGATTGATTTTTAATTATCGATTCTTTTGTTTTTTTTTCTGTGAATAGAATTTGATGGTACAACAGTTTTATGTCGTGTTTGTGGTGATAAAGCAAGCGGTTTTCATTATGGTGTACATTCTTGTGAAGGATGCAAGGTAAGTTTCCCGTTTGTTTTTCGTTTTTGTCCCTTTATTATTCGTTGTTATTTGCACCAAAAGTTTTGCTGATAAAAAATTTCTATTTTTAAAAAAAATTCTGATAAGATTTCTGAAATGATTGACATAAAGTAAATGGTTGAATGTTATGTGTGAATGGACAAGACAAAGAACAAAAAATATTGATTCATTTCAAATTTGATTTGTTGCTGTTATTGACCTTGAAAAGAAGCGTTATCTTTTTGTTTTTTCATTTGTTTGTTTGTTTGTTTGGTTGTTATCCAATGATTTGGCCACACACATTTTTTTTGGTTACAAATGAAGTAGAAATAGACGTAGAATATATGTGTGTTTTGATAATTTCTATTTTTCACTGATAACACAAGTGACAGTGACCTTATTACCATTTTAGTTGAGAAAAATGGCTGATTGATTGATTGATTCTTGAGAAAAATTTCCATCAATTGACGACAACAAACAAAATCAAACAAAACGGAAATTTATTTTTGAAAACTTTTTATTATTAATCTTTTAAGTATGTTGTGTTGATGACGATAATGATGATGATTATGATGAAATTAAAATTGATTTTGATTTTGTTTTTTTGTTGTCAAGTACGTACAATGACATTTTTAAAAAAAACTGATTTTTCAAGGCTAAATACACACACATACACACAAACATCTATATGTGATCGAAATAGCCAAATCTGCCATATTTGTTTGTGTGTGGTATATGTGTAATGCTTGTAAAGTGAAGTGAAGTGAATTTTTTTTTCGGATGATTATGGTATTTTTGAATGATCCTTTCATTTGATCTTTGTTATTACCATAATCCATAATCGATCATCATCATAATAATCAAAACGCGGAATAAGAATTTTTTTTTCCTGCACGTGTTTTTCATTCATAAATAAAAGTTTATGGAAATGCACGTAAATATGATTGATTGATTGATGTGATGTGAATTTACGTTGACCTTGTCCATTGTAAAAATTCTCAAAGAGAAAAACACATTTGGCCTAGACACATTCGGGTTAAATGAGGGGAAGAATAAAAATCGGTAGTTTTTATAAACCTTGAAAGACCTTGAAATGTTTTTTTTTACAGAAGGACATTGTCATATTCACAGTGTGTGGATAGAAAAAACGTGTTTTTTCTTCTTTTTCTGGTGAAATTCTTCAACAGAAAAACAAAAAAACCGACCAGACCAGACCAGACACCCAAATCATCATTATCATCGAAAAACAACAAACAACATAGTCATCATAAGGTTTGATTAAACTAACCAAACTAACTAAAACAAGCAAGCAAACAATTTCAGTCAATGACCTGCTGCCTTACTTGTTTGTTTGTTTGTTTGTAAAAAAAAATATCTATTTTAAATTGAATTTGATGATGCTTTGCTTTGCTTGTCTGTTTTCTTTTTGTTTTTTGTTTTTCTGGCTGATAATGATAACACATATACATACCCTCTGTATATATATATATGATTCTTTTTGGTGGTCTGTGTGGGGGGGGGAAAATCTAGTTGGTTGTCTATAGACCAAGTGCATCATCAATGTTGTAGTGGTGTTTGATGATGGCTGATGGTGGTGGTCTTCCACACATATACATAATGCCTTTGGTGAAAAATTCTCAAACCAAAAATACATGAGAATGTCCTTCAACCGTAGATACGAGATATATACCCTTCTGTTCAATTCAATTCAATACATACCATCATCATCATCGTGTTTCATATACACCCTGCAAAAGTTCATGGCCAAATTTTTTTTTTTTTGAAATACCGCCATGCATGATGGAAGGTTGTTGTTGTTGTTGATAATGAAGAAGGTTATTGAAAAAAAACTACCACCACCACCACCATACCAATAGGCCGACCGACCTTAAAAAAAAGAAATCTTCATGATCACTAGGTCACTGAACTGATGAATATTATTATTGGGTGAAATATTTTGCTTCTTTCGTGTGTTTCGAGAGATTTCTTTCTTCTGCTGATGTTCTATGTGTGTTAAACTCGTTCTCGTGAATTGGTTTGGTTTGGTCGATCGGTTTGTTTGAATGAATATCACCATTACCACTACTGTGTGAATAGCCGATTTATATTAGGTTTTTTTGTTTGTAACCTTTTTCGTGTCAAAGGTAAAAAGATCTACCTTGAACAATAATTTACCTGCATTTTATAAAGAAAAAGAAGTGGTTCAAAAACGACGACCAAGGTGTTTATTATTGTCATTCTGCACATTATGTGCTAAGTGTGTGTGATTGACATTTTTGGAGTATGAAGTGGGAACCAAAGTTTTATTTATTTGTCTTCGATCTCTTCGATATTCCAAGGACCCTTTTTTTTGTCCTTGTTGCACGTGCGTAAAAGACAATTTCAAGGTCAAGACAGTATTGAAAATTTTTTTTTCTGTTCTTTCTTTGAATCGAAAGGTTAAGAAATTAAACTTATAAGAGATATAAGAGATAGAAAGGTACTATGACCTCATAACCTTGAAAACATTTTTTTCTTGGGTTCGTTCGGTTCGGTTCGGTTCAAGTAAAACTTTTTTTTGTTCTGAAATCAGCATGACATTATTGTTATTATGGATGATGATCATCCTCAAAATGGTTCCAGAAATATTTTCAAAACCAAAACCAAGTCATTTTTTCATTTTTGACCTGAAAAATGACAATTGGAACAAAGTTTTCCAGAAAAAGAAAGGGAGAAAATGAAGGAATTCAGAAAAATGAATAGGCAATACCTTTATTCTTTGACCTTGTTTTTTTCACAGGTTGATTTTTCATTGCAAAAACTTTTTTACTTTTTTTTTGAATTTAAAAATTTTAAAATTTCATTTTTTTTCCTTTTTTTCTTTCTTTTTAGGGATTTTTCCGTCGTTCCATACAACAAAAAATACAATATCGACCATGTACAAAAAATCAACAATGTTCAATATTACGTATTAATCGTAATCGTTGTCAATATTGTCGTTTGAAAAAATGTATTGCTGTTGGTATGTCACGTGATGGTAAGTTTCAAATTCAAAAAATTTTGAAAAAAAAATCAAAAAATTGTTTCCATACACACACGATAGATGGCGGTAGTGATATCAAAAAAAAAAAAAAATAATAATGATGCTAAAATGCTGTTGAACTAACTGTTTTTTGTTTTGTCGTCTGTAATTGTGCAATCAGTAAAAAAAATTTGTTGTTTTTTTTCCTGTTCAACAACAACAACAACAACACATGTGATAATGATCAAGGTCTTTGAATATTTCGTTGTTGTTTTCAGTTTAATTCAATTCTTTTTTACAACAACAACAACTGATCAATACTGGGAAACAAAAACAGATAGGCAGCGAAGAAGAAAAATTTTCCCTTTTTTCCAATTAGAAACATTTTTTTCTTTCTCAGTGAATGTAGGAAATCCTTGAAATTTTTTTGTATTCTGAAATTTCAAAATCAATCAATAAATGACGTATATCGTGTAAAATGACATTGACAATGAAAAAAGATTTGAAAGATTTGAAAAATGCAACAGTTTCGATTTTTTTTCCATTGTCATCATACATGCATGCACATCATTTCAGTTATAACGGTATCTTTAGTTTTTTTGCTGTAATATCTATCTCTATGTTTATCATTTGGATTTTTTTTGTTGAAAAGCAAAAAATCAAACATATAAATTGATAACCTTGATCTTGACTGAATGATGAACGATGGTGGTGGTTATGATAATCAAATTTTTATTTTTATTTGATATTTCCACGTGGTAAACATTGTTTGTTTGTTGTTGATGCATTTACAACAAACAAACAACAAGAATTTCCAATAAAAGATTGCTAAACATTTTGGTAATCCATAATTCTTAATCATCATCATCATCATCCTATTCATACATAATTTCTATGAAATAATCAATGTAGAAATACACACACACAAAGAGTACAGAAAATCATTAGACAGAATTCTTGTTTGTTTGAAGGATAAAAATTGCATTTTTTAAAAAAAATTAAATAACGTAGCTGTTGTTCTGACAACGTGATTTTTTTTTCTCATTGATTCTCTCTCTCTCTCTCTCCCCCACCGATTATCTATGTTTGAATGAATGAAAAAAAAAATTAGAACAACCAACCAACCAACCAAACACCTACATTTGGCGAAAAAAAAACCAAATATGTTTTTTTTTCTCTCTCTCTCTCTCTATTCAATGTCATTGAGTGTATCCTGATGATGATGATGATGATGATGTGGCTTCTTCGCTTTTTTCCGAAGAAAAACCAGTGAAAAAAATTATTAGTATCATTCAATATGACGCCATTGATTCATTCATTCAATATGGATGGTTAATTCGTTTTAAAAGGGAAAAAAACTTTTTTTCCTTTTTTGTTTAACCAAAACCAAGAATAAATAAAAATCACACTACTGCGTCGGTATAGAGAATATCAATACCGCAATACAAACGCAATATATTCTGCTGTTTTGCTTTGGTTTTTTTTAAATAGAATTAATAACCATTATAAAATGCTGTTGCTATTTAAAATGAATGTCAAGGCCACCACGCCGACATTGAAAAACAAGAAATGAAAATGAAAATCTCTATATACACATCATACACACACACCTAAGCTAAGCTAAGGGAAAAAACCTACAGCCAAAAAACACACATTATATTCTCTCTCTGTCTATATAGACATATGGCGCCCGGCGTAATAACACTTTGGAACACATTCTATATGACCAGAATTTTGGAATTTTTTTTTCTTCCAATGATGATGGTGGTATAAATCATCATTTGTTTTGTTTTGTTTTGTTTGTCTAGTCAGTCGTCGTAGTTACTGTATATGATATGTACCTAGAAAGTTTTTTTATTATAATTTCCTATGATAATGATGATAATAATACTAGTTTTATCTGGTTTTGATTCAAATAATAAAATATTACACTTGCCTATGTTTGAGAAGAAGGAAGAGGAGGGGGGAAGAAAAAAAAATTTCAACAGTAACCAAAAAAAATCAAACCCCCTCCCTCCTATATTATAAGATATTGATCAAAAATCTCTTAGTTATTTTAGATGATAATAATCATTTAACCTTGGACATTTTCAAAAATCAAAAAACCAGATGAAAAAAAAACATTGGACACTTTTATCATTTCATTTGTACCTAACTTTTTTTTTGTCTCTCTTTTAAGAAAAATTTAGGTAGAAATAGTTGATGATTACCATCCATTGTTAAATTATTTAAAACACAAAAATCTATATATTTGCTTTTCCCTTCGTCTATGTCATCGTCTATGTTGTTGTTGTTGTTCGCATATCTTCAATATTTGAAGTTATTTTTAGTTTTGAAACCCAAAAACAAACAAAACAAAACAAACATTAAACATTTAGCAATTTTCACATAATGACAATTCCTGTATAGAATTTTCATTGAAAAATTCTTTTCCATTCTTTTCCGCTCAATCATTATAATATCGATAATATCGATTGTATCGATATTATCGAGAATCATAGATAACCGAATAAAACATTTTTTCATTCATTTCATTCAACCGTTATTATAAAATATTATTACTAATTATAATTAACTAATTTATAATTTACAAAATGATGTTGATTATAATCATGATTATAACCTTGAGCAAAAAAAAACATATATAGCAGTAACAGTAGAAAGTGTGGCACTATCATATCCGTCTTATCCGTTGTTATCAAAATATTTTCTTTTTCTCTTTTGCCATCAATCAATCAATCAAATCACATATACATCATCTCTCTCTCGCTCTCTCTGTGTTTGTAAAATGTTATCCAGAAAAAAAACTACAGTAGCTTTTTTTGTAATTTGGATTTGCGATTGCAGAATTTTATAAACTTTTTATAACAAAGAAAAATAACAATGAAATCATTGATAATGTATTGCACTTGAAATGTTAATCATCATCATTTTTTTCCTTCTCTCCCCCTTTATTATTGAGAAAATTCCTGAGAAAAAAACATTGTCGGAATATTTTTTTCACTTTTTCCCCCTTCAAATCAATTGATTTTTCTGATTGATTTTTTTGTTCCGTCTTTGATAAGCAAAAATCGAATGATGATAAAGAAATGTCCTTTTTTACAGACATTTTGTCTTTCCAAAAGTCTAATCATATGATTATTTAAATAAGGGACGAGATAATGATGTTTTCACTATTTCGACATCATTAGTCTATTTCGTTTTTGAAAAAAAAGAAAAGAATCGGCCATTCAGTGAATTCTTTGGCCAATTAAAAATTATGAATTTTTTCTCTCACTGTTTTTTTCTTCAGAATTTACCGAGTTTCTGAGTCTTGTCCTTAGCCAAAAAGAAAAATCAAATTACATAATCAGAGAAAAAAAAACAGATTGGCAACCACCACAGCAGCTTACCAAAAATATTGTCGTCGTCATCATTGTGTATGATTGTGGCAATAATGATGATGATGAGCTCATAACCCGGGCGTCATCGTAACCAGAAAAAAGAACCTTGGAAAAATTTGTTTAATAATAAAGGTGGTGGTGGTGGTGGGCGCCATTGTTGTTGCTATTTTAAAACCAAAGAAAAAATCTAAATCTGGTCTGGTCATTTGTTAATCTGAATCTAATTTGGAAAAGTCAGTTTTTTTTGGGGGGGGGGTAAATTTTCCAGTGATTAGAATATATGCGATATAAAAGAAACCCAAATTGATTGCATCAATCAATTTTTTTTTTGCATTCGTTTGCTGAAATTTTTTCAAACAACAAACAGCAAACATGACACGCAAACATGAATTTATCATGTTTGTTTTTTTCGTAAAAAATGTAAATTTCAATGAAATTTCATAAGATTTTTTTGTTTCAATTCTTTTAATATTCAAAAAATAAAAAATCCGATAATGGCGCCGACTCTAAATCATGATTCTTCTGTTTGATGATGATGATGATGGTAAACGCACACACCGTACCGTACGCACATATATACATTGTATTGCTTGGTTTACGTTTTCATTTGGCGTCATTGAGCAAGAGAGAGAGAGAGAGAGAGAGAGTAGTATATATGTGAATCCAGATACAAACGACGACGATGCGCGATGTATATTTTGGTTAGCCTTGCACTTGAACTTGTGGATATTTCTTTATGGAGAGTGTAGTTTTTTTTATTAAATCGTTATCGTCGTCATCGTTGTACGTGTGTGTTTTGTTGTCTATGTATTTTCATTGGATGTTTTTTTTGGATAATATCCACTTCTTCTTCTTCTGTGTTTCTGTGTATGCATTACAATATTCAATGATTTTTTTACAAGGCTAACCAAATAGCAAAAAACAGTGAAAGCAGAAAAAAAACAGAAAACATTTTTTTTTTAGTTTCAGTAGCATTTAGGCGATTCATTGTGGCGTCAACCAAGATGGCAATATAGAAATTTTGAAATTTCTTTTTTTTTTGAATTTGAATTTCTCTTCTTTCTTTCTTGTTTCACATCAACTAGTCGCCGTTATTGTTGATTTTTTGTTTTTTGTTTTTTTTAAATTATTTCCGTTATTTGCTGTTGTTTCAAAATGATATTCTTTGTTTTTTAAACCCAAAATTATTGATCAGAATTTCCGGAAAATTTCTCTGATCATTCAATTTTGATGTGCAATTCTTGTAAAATTTCTCAATGTGCAATTCTGATTCTTGAAACAAAATTCCAATTAATAAAAAGGTTATCCACATCTGCATATTGTATGGCATCCTCATCATCATCAAATGATGGTTATGGTAATAGCAACAAAATGCCAACAACCACCAACAACAACAACAATTCATCCTCAACATTACAACGAATATTATTGAATGGTTCAACAACAAATTCATCGATTTTGAATCATCAATATCATCATCATCAAAATGAATTTCATTCATTTATTCCACCACCACCACCACCATTACCACCCCCTCCACAATCATCATCATCATTATCATCAATTTCTGTACCGGCTTTTCTTTCAACATTATTACAACAACCAATCGGTAATAATGGTGATGGTAGTATAATCGATTATAATCGATTATCATCGTTGACCAATAGTAACAACAGTAACATTCATTCGAAATATTCAAGTAACAGTAAAACAAAACGTTCACGGCAGGTGAATAATAATAATCGTCGACAACAATCAAGATCACGGTCAAGGTCACCATCATCAAAAGTTTCAACAAGTAATGATGATGACGATGATCATCAAATTGTATCAACTAGTGGACAACCGATTTCAAATCGTCAATCATCGACGTCGTTTGGCCGTAATTCTTTATTGAAACGTTTGACAGGTGCCAATCATCGATCTCATCAATCAACATATCCATCAACAACAACAACCGCAACGATACTTTTACAAGCACATCAAAATGATACACATGATTCATTAGCAGCATCAATGCCATTATTAAGTTCATATTTACGTTCACCACCAAAAATAATTGGATCAACAGCAAAAAAATTATTATTAAATTCTAATATCGCTAATAATAATAATAATAATAGCGGTAGTGGTAGCGATAATTCCGATGATCGATCGCAATTACAGCCGCAATTGCAATCACCAATATTAAATAGCGGTAAATTTGAATAATCAGATTTATTCTATTTTTGTTTTGTTTCATAACCCAAAAACGCAAAACTTAACTTTTATATTCGCCGCATCGTTATAAATGATATCATTTTTACCGTCATTTTTTCCAATTAGTTACTAATTTTTTAAATTACAAATTACAAATTTTATTATGTTACAAGTCTTGTTACAAATTGCTTTAATTTTAATCTTTTTTTCTTTTTCTTTTTTCCCTATTTAAAATTTAGCCGTACGATTTGGTCGTGTACCGAAACGTGAAAAAGCCAAAATATTGGCTGCAATGCAAAAAGTAAATGCACATTCATTGGAAAAAGCATTATCATTGCTGTTGGAAGATGAACAAAACCTAATGCAATCAATTATACGTGCACATGATGAAACATGTGATTATACAAAAGAAAAAGTTATACCATTATTAGATCAGGCAAGATCAAGACCAATTTATGCCCAATGTCCACAAATGGTATGTGTATTATTATTATTATTTTTCTTTTGCTTTTTTCTCATTTGAAAAACAAACATAAACAAACAACAAACCAGAAGTAGAATTTTGAAAGTGAAAAAAAAAATGTTTCCTGTATATTTGCTTCTCTATGTATATTGTACATGCGTTACTACAAACATCATCATTATTATTATCGTTCGTTATTATCATTTGATTTCATCATCATCATCATTGATAAGAATTTTTCTTCTTTTTTTTTTCGTTTGATATTTATCAAAACAAGCAAAGCTCTTTTGCTCTGTGTATAGTCAGTGTATAGTGAAAACGCATACCAAACACCACGCATCATATATATACCGGAAGCATCCTGTGTGAATGAACAGTGCAAATTTGTTTTATTGAATTATTCAGTTCAGTTCAGTTCAGTGTTGTTGTTGTTGTTGTTTTCAAGGATTTTCCTTTCTTTATCCAACATTATACACACTGACTGACTAATGGATGACATTTGTCGATTCTGTACTAGAGAATTTTGATTGATTTTTTTTTGAAAAACAGTACAGGATATTCTCGACATACAGAGAGAGAGAGAGAGAATGAGAGAAGAGAAAGAGAAATTCTTGATGAAAAGAATTGAAAACAACCTTGAAAATGTGTTTTTTTTTTGTAGCACCCCAAAAAAACTGAAATAACCAGAATTTTCATATCTAATCTAACAACACCGACACACACCGTCAATATTGACGTCATAATTAACCTTGATCATGAACCAGAAACATTATTCTTCTCTTCTATATTCTTCTTTTATTTATTTACTTGAAATTCTGGTATATTTGTCATATATAGAGAAAAAAAACAAACGCAAATGACAGCGAATACAGTGTGAGACAGAATCATAAATATCAAAAAAAAATAAAATTAAAATTCTAATCGATTTTTTGAATATAGAATTTTCTATATATAGAAATATAATTGAAGGGAGGAGAGGAAGTGGGGAAAGAAACAGAGAAAATCGTTTATATAGTTAGAGATGATGATGATTCCAGAATCGGAGGGGGTGAAAACAACAAGAATTTTTTTTTCTTTTTGGTTACTATCTTGGAAATATTTGCTTACACATAAGTAAAGGAAGCAGCAGCAGAAGTTTTTGTTTCATTTTACCTGTCCTTGAAATTTTAAATCAGGATTTTCAATAAATAAAAAATCTCCAATGACAAACCTGTATTTCCGTATGGAAATCATTTCTTTTCAAGTAGTTTTTTCCATTTCTTTAAGTCCAATTAACAAACAAAAACAGAAAAAGATTATCTCATTACAAATTGGATCGATTGCCTTGCCATCCATTCATTTTTCCCTTAAAAAAGATACATTGTATATAAAAAGAAGGAAATAGTTTTGCTGATTCTCAATCATCATCATAGGTATATAGCATTATCATCATGTGAAATTTCCAATTCCAAAAAACTAGAAAACTAGAAAACTAGTGCGCATGTCACCGGCTAATGATAATCATCATCAATTGATGATTATCATTAAAATATATCCCATGTATATATTGTGTGTGTACTTACAAGTATATATCCTTATGTATGTGCAACAACCAACGAAATAAAAAAAAATCAATGCCAATGTCAAGGCCAATATATTGGCTAAAAACAACAACAATCTTTTCTACAGAAACATCCATCCATTGATGGCTATATATACCCATATGTAGTAGACTATAAACATTTGATATTTACACACACACACACACACAACACACTATTGACGTATAACATCCCTGAACATACATTATTATTATTGCAATAAAAAACTATATATCCAAATCATCAGATGGATGGATGTTATTTTTTTCGTTGTTGTTGGATGAATTTGACATTGAGATTTCAAATTGTGTGTGTTTAGTGTGTTTGCTGTAATATATGTGTGCGCATATTTTTTTCTATTAAGTACATATAGGAGGAATAATAATAATAATCAAAAAAACACACGTATTTGATATTTTGGTTTTCTGGTGAAATCAAAAATCAAAAAAAAAGAAAGAATTTTTGATGGAAAAAAAGGTCAAGTTCATCTAACCTAACCTTTGAATGATTTTTGAAGGTTTACACATAGAAAGAGACAGAGAAAGAATATATTGACCAATTCTGGATTCTGGATCCAATGTCTGTGTGTGTTTGTCAGTGCAAAGGAATTCTTTTCTCTGGAATTAACCATAAGAAAAAACGAAAATTTCTTGAGATTTTTTCTTTTTTTCTCAAGAAATTTTGCACAACCATATGCAATATATTGTTGTTGTTGTTGCAATCAAAATTTTTTTTATCGAATTTGATGATTATGATGATGAATAAGAATCAAGGACAAGGATTTTTTTCGATGCAATCAATGTCACCGTTTGTATTTTCGGTGTGAATTTTTTCTGCTGCTGTTGCTGCTATTTTTATAGTTTTTTCATTCATTCATTCATTCATCAGATCGATTCATCAATTGATTGATGAATTGCTGCTGGTGATGGTTAGAAAATGGTGAATTTTTCATTTTCTCCGATGAAATATCGTTTGCAATAATTTTTCTGGCTGCTGTTTAATCAATGATATTCATCACGTTTGATAATTTGAATAAAAAAATTAGCTAATTGAATGTTTAACATGGAGAATGGGGAAAAACAATTAAACAATCGATCGATCGATCGATTGAAATCGATGAAATTCACACACACACTGTACACACTGAAATTATTCAAATAATTTCATTGCCATGGTTAAGATTATTATCATCAAGAAGAAATGTGAGAAGCAAAAGAGAAAAATACCGGGAAATTTCCCTGAAAGATAATTTTGCGAATGAGATAAAAAAGAATAAATTTGACCTTCGAATAAATTTAAAAAAAAATTCACAAATAACATTCCCATTTTGTTAATTAATAATTTTTTTTTTTCGTTTTCGTTTTTCGTTTTCTAGACTTGTCCATTAAATCCATTACCAGCACAGAATCAAATTGATTCGAATCGTTTGATGGAAGATTTTAGTGAACGTTTTTCACCAGCCATACATGGTGTTGTTGAATTTGCTAAACGTATACCCGGTTTTAGTTTATTAGCACAAGAAGATCAAGTTACATTGCTTAAGGTTTGTAAATTTTTTTTTTCCGGAAAGATTCTTTCCCGAAAGAATCTTCAATTCAAGCACAAAACTAATTTATCGATTTTCTTTCTTTTCTTTTTTTCGTTTTTCGTATTTTAGGCTGGTGTATTTGAAGTTTTATTAGTACGTTTAGCATGTATGTTTGATTCACAAACAAATTCAATGATTTGTTTAAATGGTTTATCATTAAGACGTGATTCATTACATTCAGCATCGAATGCAAGATTTTTATTAGATTCAATGTTTGAATTTGCTGAACGTTTAAATTCATTACGTTTAACTGATAATGAATTAGGTTTATTCTGTGCTGTTGTTGTTATTGCACCTGGTAAGTTATTTAAAAAAAAACAAAAAAAAAATTTAATCAAGATAATTACCGTCCGCAAATGTCTATATCAATACACTCTCTTACATAGGTTTTTTAATATATAGAAAAAACACTATTTCTTTCATTTCATTTCTATCAAATAGCGTCTGTTTTTGTTTCCTTGTTGTTGTAAAATATATAAACGCAACAATATGATTAACGCTTGTTTCCTTGACCTAGATCAGCATTTGCCAGTTGATATTTTCTATGTTGTTTTTTTCATATTGATATATGTGTGTGTTATGTCTAGCTAAAGCTTCAATTTAGGTATATGAATAGTTCCGTTATTGAGATATATAACCAACAGCAACATATACTCTACTGAAATATTGAAAAATTATCTTAGCATTTCCTATTTGGAAATAGAATCATTTCATTGCCAAAATCCAACATCCACTACACACGCAAACACATTAACACTTTGTATGTGTATTGGGAGACTATTTTACGCCCATTTTTTCCAAGTTTTTTTTTTCATTTTTCATTTATCCCATTTTTTTTTTTGTTGAAAAGTCAGTGTATTCAGACGGTTAATCCTGAAAGATTGAAATTCTTTTTACCCAGAATTTAATACAGAATATTTATTAACCACGTGTTTCGTTTTTCTGTGTTTGTTTGTTTTTCTTTGCTCTAATGAATTTTTTAGATCGTCCTGGTCTGCGAAACATTGATTTAGTACAAAAAATTAATAAACGTTTAGAAGAAATTCTACAAAAAGCTATTGCTACAAATCATCATCAACAGAATTTATCAACAACAGAATCGGCAGTAGCTGCTGCTGCTCAAGCAGCAAATCAATTATTTCAAGAATTGATTCGAAAAATTCCCGATCTTCGTACATTGAATGCATTACATTCGGATAAATTATTGGGTAAAAGTTTTGGTGGTCTTGAACAACCGCAACAACAATCAATGAATAGTGCGGTAACCTGTCCTCGAATGAATCTTGATATTACTACGTCGACGACGACGGCAATCCATAACCATCAACAACAACAACAACAACCAGATAGTCAATCAAATGAATCTCCTGATCGTTCATGGTCATCATCATCAACCACATCAACATCAACGATAATGGGACATTATTCACCAACAACATCAATTGTTGATGGTGAACATAATCATAATCATGTTACAAATCACCTCAATCATAATCACCTCAATAATCATCATGATCTTTGGATGGATTCTGTAAAAGATTCTGTTGGTACTACCACTACTACAAATACCGCTACTAATAATAATAATAATAATAATGGATCAAATAATGGTCAACAATGTTTTGGTTCACCACGTTCAATATCATCCGGTTTATCATCATCGGATGATAATACATCATCAACATCATCAAGTAATGGACGTAAAGGATCGATCTCATCATCATCAACATCATCAACATTATCAACATTATCATCGACAAAATTGGCCAACCACCACCATAATAATAATTATAGCTGCTATCGAACATCACCATCTTCAATGATAATGATTGAAGATGATCCTACTACAACAACAACTAATGCTAATGCTACTACTACAAAAAATACCGCATATAGTCATCATAATCATCATATTGGTCGTATTGATTCACCAAATGATTCAGGAATTGAATCCGGTAAAGAAACAATCAATAGTAGTAATAATGGTGTTAATGATATTATTTTAACACCACCATCAATATCAAGTGTTTGTTCTAGTCCACAATCATTGATTGATGATACGATTACCAAAGATAATCATTCAAATCATAATCACCATAATCATTGTACATCATCAGATTCAGAACCAGGAATTGGAATTGAAAAACAAGAAGAATCAATTGATGATATGCCTGTATTGAAAAGAGCATTACAAGCACCACCATTAGTTAATACAAATAAACTGATGGATGAAGCATATCGTCATCATAAAAAATTTCGTGCTGCAGCTAGAAATAGTAATAGTAACAGTAATAACAATAATAGTAACGGTTTACGATGTAATCAATCAGAAGAACCACATAGTCCATCAACAACAACAACAACTTCTTCTTTAACGGTGAATCGTACCGGTGTTATTACTTCACATTCGTCATCGTTAGCGTCATCGCTATCACCATTATCAACAACGACGACTAAAACAACATTACAATCAAAACATTCAACATTATTAAAAACATTAGAACAACCATCACGTTATTTAAATGAACAACAATTAAAACGTACCGATCTCATACATAATATTATTATGAATACTGAAACTGTACAAATACCGGCAACAATGGCACCAGTGCAACAACAACAACAACAACAATCATACCATCCTAATCCTCATTCTCATCCTAATCAACAACAACAACAACAATATCCATTGGAAACGCATTTACTTGGAATGCCGCAGCAGCAACCGCAACAAGTTACGGTCCTTTATTCGACACAGAATTCTGGTTATCCTTATCATAATGGTGGTAGTGGATGTCCATTCAGTTCGGAACAAAATCGAATTGTTTCAAATTCAAGTCCAACATTACAACATTATCATCAACAACAACAATCGATATATCGAACAACACCACCATCACCATCGACAACAACATACCATATTCCGGCATCAATAGTGGTACAAAATGGTAGTTCACCGCCATTAACATCATCGGTAGCTGCTGCTGCTGCTCATTCATCATCAAGACCATCATCATCATTATCAAATCATTCATCAACATCATCATCGAATGGTTGTGTTGGTGGTGGTAGTAATCGTCCATTTTCACATCTTCAACGATGTTTAACTGGACAGATTGCCCCGTTACAAGAACCTATTTTATTACAAACAGCAGCACAAACAATTTTATCATCATCGTCGTCGACGGATGATCAAATGGATGTTGATGATGATGATGATCAAATTGATTGTCAACCGCTTAATCTTTCCAAAAAACCATCATCATCTTCAAGTTCTTCTTCAAATTCTTCTACGTTGTCTTCCTCTTCCAAAACATCGTTTGATTTGATACATCGTTCATCACCAACAACAACAATCGTTGCATCGTCCATGATCAAAATTGAAGTTGATCCACAAAATGCTTAATTTGTAAATAATAATCATAATCATCATCGACAAACAAACAAACAAGATGGACAACAAGTTGACCAAGTCTTTTTTTTCTATATTTGTTTCAACAACAATACCCCAGTGCAAATACAAAATTTTTTCAATTTTTTTTTTCAAAGTCCAAAAACAATATCGATAGTCGATACTATCGATATTCAAAACTATCGATAGTTTGAATCCAACCTCATGCTCATTATCACCTTATATTTCTTATGACAAAAAAAAATTCTGGTTCAAAAAAATTCTTTTTTTCCACGAAAAAAAAACTTTATCTCAAACGATTCTTATTCTGAAAACGAAAAAATAGTCAAAAACAAAAACAAAACGAAATTCTCTTTGTTACGAACACACTGAACACACACACATCTTGATATATCTTTTGCAATTTTCTCTCTCTCTCTCTCTCTCTGGATTTTCTTTCTTTCTTTGCTCTATCTTATAATCACATTACATTACATAACATAATCATCAAAATGTTAATCAGGCAAAAATTTGATTTTTTGCACCGACAAACGACATTCATTCATTCATAATTCACAAGCTGGGAATCTGCGTTTTTGAATCTCAAAATGAAAATGAATTGAATTGGTGACGTAATAAATCATCACCAACATGAACATTATTCGTGTCAACAACATTCATTCATCATTTCATCCATCATCATTTTTTTTTCTCGCCATTCTTTTTTTTTTTGTTCTTTTCTTATCAATCAATCAATCATTGATTATTATTATTCTCAAATTTTTTTTTCTCAAATTCTCTGTGTAGATATAAAATGATATAATTTAAATATAAACCAAACAAAAAAAAACCAAAATCAATAAAATAATTTTGAAACGGTAAAACAGCCAAAATGTTTTTCTTTTGATAAGGTTTTTTTGGATGTTGTTGTTGTTGTTGTTGTTTTAAATTGAATGATTATTCCATGATGACGATGATATCATCATAATTTTGTTTTTTGTTTATTTCCTTTTAATAATATTTCTCAAATCGTTTTGTTTGGGGAGGCCGGTGAGGGGAAGAAGTATTGCATCAAAACTATGAAAAAAAACAACAAACAAACAACCAAAAAAAAACTTATTAAACCAGGAAATGATCAACCTTGGAATTGAATGCGCACCACCACCATATTGATAAAGACATTTAACAAATGTTTGTTTGATTTTCGGTCTTTGAACGCCATCTATGAACAAGAAATGAAAACAAGTGATTTTTTTTGGGAAATTAAAGGATTTTTTTTTCTTTTAATTCAAAAACAACAAATTATAATTGGACATTATTTTGGTTTTGTTCATTAACATTTTTTTTTCTCAAAAGAAAAGGGAAAAACATTGAATCTTTTTTTTTTGGATATGATTTTCCAATGACAAAAAACAAAAAAAACTAATTTTTATGGTTATAATAATAGGACTGGTTTGAATGGACAGGGAAAAAACAAACAAACAGAATTCAAAAATTTCAAAAATTTCAAACTTTTTAAATAAATTCATATCACACACACGGCACACACGCAAACTTCCATATAGTCAAACACACACAAAAACATTGATGAATGAAATGATGAAACGCAAAACTGATTGAGGTAATTGCCCGATGATGATGACAAAAAAAATGATGATTTTCAATTAATAAAAAGGCGATTTTTTGTTTCTTTCTTTTTTGATTGATTGATTCATTGAATGAAATGAAATGAAATAAAACACATGCGGATATTCAGGATTAATATTGGGATTTAATCATTTAAAAAGAGAAAAAAAAATTTCGAAAAAAAATCATAAAAATAATAAAAATAATTAAAAAAACGGAGGGAAAATGAAATCAAAATCAAATCAGAATCTGATTCTTGATTGATTCGAATGAAATAAAAAGAAAAGAAAGGAAAAAATTCAGATTATATCAAAAAAAAAAAAAAAAATATAGGGGGGGGGGGGGACAAGTTAAAATATTTTGATATTTTTATAAAGGGGA